AGAGAGAGTGGGGGGGGGCAAATGAATAAAATTTTGAGCCCAGCACTCGGGCGGCAGAAGCAGGCAGATCTCAGTAAGTTGAAGTCCAGCCTGATCTACAAAACTACACAGAGAAACCCTGTCTCAAAAACAGAAAAATGATTGCCTTCAGTACTGTTAGCGCAGCAATAACAGCCCAGGAGGGAAAACTCCTGGTCAGAAGATTAGAAAATCTGGCCTGTGTAGAAACCTTCAGGGATACTAAAGTCACAGGCTGAAAAACTAACTATCCCTTTAATGAGCTGTGAACTTCTCCTTCCTGGAATCCCTAGCACAGTCCCTACCACGAGCCAGCATGAGGTCCTAACTCAGAAAGGCACGACTTTGCCTTTTGCTTTTTTCCTCAGCTGCTGGCTGGAACCTAAGTCTGCTTCTCCTGATTCTCTGGGCTTCCACGCGCTTTCTCCAGGCTCCCCTCCCTGTCATGTGGTGTTTGTGTAGTGTTGTGGCTGCTGCTCCGCCGTGTGTCCGGTTTCCATGGCATTAACTCACAAACATCGAGGGTCAGTTTTTTTCCTTCCTCATTCTCCTCCAGGCAGCTGCCAAGATTGACGAGTCGCCTGCCCGTCTTGGTGTTTTTGTTTTACTTTGTTCTATTTTAATTCTTAGTTGGTTTTTTGAGGCAGGGTTTCTCTGTATAGTAGTACCAAATAAATAGGAACTCTGTAGACCAGGCTGCCCTAAAACCCTCAGAAAGCCCCCTACCCCTGCCTCCCAAGTACTGGGATTAAAGGCATGTGCCACCACACCCAGTTTATTTTAGTTTTATTAGTTTTCAGAGACAGGGTGTCTTCTGTGTAACCTGGCTGTCCTCAAACTTGCTCTGTAGACCAGGCTGGCCTTTGCCTCACTAGATCTGCATGCCTATGCCTCCCAAGTGCTGGAATTAAAGGTTGTGCCGCCACTGCCTGCCTCTTGTTTTAGACTCTAATAAAGTTTTTATCAAGCTTAATTGAGTCATTCTTTTTTTTAAGATTTTATTTATTTATTATGTATACAACATTCTGCTTCCATGAATATCTGCACACCAGAAAGGGGGTGGGGGCAGACACCAGATCTCATAACGGATGGTTGTGAGCCACCATGTGGTTGCTGGGAATTGAACTCAGGACCTCTGGAAGAGCAGTCAGTGCTCTTAACCTCTGAGCCTTCTCTCCAGCCCCCTATTCTTAAAATCTTTTATTAATGAGACCAAGAATCCCAAGATGTGACCCTGATTTCCCTGGTATTAATACCATGTGGGGATGCAGAAATAAGATCCAAGAGGAAGAAAGAGGTCAGCAGGTCCTGTTTTACTGTCTTGGGGAACTGGGATGCTGTCCTACTTGGAGCCCTCTAAGAAACCATGCCCCACCCCACAGTTAACCTCCAGAGAAGGGAAGATGGGCTACTTAACCATCAACTCCAGTTCTCAGAGGCAGAGTCTTAGTCTGCTGGTGTACAGGGCCTTGCGGATTGTGGGCAAATCTCACTTATACAGTCAAAGAACAGCCCCAAAAACTTCAAGAAGAGATACATAATTTTGAAACTTTCAATGAAAAAATCAAAAGAACAAAGACTAATAAAGGCCTTTTTAAAAGGAGACAGGCAGGCGTTGGTGGCGCACACCTTTAATCCCAGCACTCTGGAGGCAGAGGCAGATGGATCTCTGTGAGTTCAAGCCCAGCCTGGTCTACAAGAGCTAGTTCCAGGACAGACTCCGAAGCCACAGAGAAACCCTGTATCGAAAAACCAAATAAATAATTAAAAGGAGGCCGGGCGTTGGTGGCGCACGCCTTTAATCCCAGCACTCAGGAGGCAGAGGCAGGCGGATCTCTGTGAGTTCGAGGCCAGCCTGGTCTGCAGAGCCAGTGCCAGGATAGGCTCCAAAGCTACACAGAGAAACCCTGTCTCGAAAAACAAATAAACAAATAAATAAATAAATAAATAAATAGAGACAGGCATGGTGATACATGCCTGTAATCCCAGCACCAGGGGATCTGAGGCAGAAAGATTGAGAGTCTCAGGCTAGCTTGACTCCATAGCAAGTCCTAGGCCTCTCCGGGCTACAAGTTAATAATAATACAATAATTAAAAACATGTGTGGAACCAGTGCCTATAATCTCAAGGAGGAAGAAACAGGAAGATCGATTGAAGTTTGAGGGCCTCCAAGATGAAACCGGAGAAAGATTTTTAGCCACCAACCCATACCAAAAAAAAAAAAAAAAAAAAAAAACCATGGCTGTGGAGATGGCTCCACAGTTGAGAGCACTTAGTGTTCTTCCAGAGGGCCTGTGGTCAGATCTCAATGTGTACTTCAGGCAGCATCACAACTTCCTATAACTGGAGTTCAGGGGATTTCACATTCTCCTCTGGCCTCAGAGTGCCTGCACACATGTGACACACACACACACACACACACTCAGAAATAAACAAAAATGATTCTTTTTAAATGAAGTGGTATTCATTCTTCAGATAAAAGGAAACTGTTTCCCAGTGTGAGCTCAGAGACATCAAGAAATAATGACTGTGTGGTTGCACAGGACTTAAGTTCAAGGCCAGCCTGTCTACACGGACAGTTCCAGACCAGCCAGGGTGACAGTAAAACCTTGTGTGGATGAAAGAAAGAACGGAGCCTGGTGTGGTGGTACAGACACGCTCGAGTCCAGGAGCTCAGGGGCCACCTTAGAAATCCACCTCTAAAATGAAAGAAGACAGGAGTGGGGAAGGAATGCTAAGGGTCTGCTTGTTGGCTGGAGAAAGTGGAAGGGCAGCAGTGACTCAGTGACAGAGCACCTGTCCTTCGTGTAGAAGCCTTTGCACTGGAGAGAGACAGGAGGGTGTCAAGGCTGCAGTCACAAACACTGATGAGGTCAGACATGGAGACAGCAAGTTCAAGGTCAGTCTGGGCTGTGGAATGATCTCAAAGCCTTCATGGCCAACTTCATGAGGCTCTTTCTCAAAATCAAAGGTAAAATTACCTGGATTCAACCCCCAGGACGTGGGAAAGAAAAAGACAAAAATATACTGATCAAAGTGACAAAAGAAGTTGAAAGGCTGTCTTTTTAAAAATAATAATTTATGCCGGACATTGGTGGCACACGCCTTTAATCCCAGCACTCAAGAGGCAGAGGCAGGTGGATCTCTGTGAGTTCGAAGCCAGCCTGGTCTCCAGAGTGAGTGCCAGGATAGGCTCCAAAGCTACACAGAGAAACCCTGTCTTGAAAAACCAAATAATAATAATTTGTTTATTTTTATTTTATGTGCATTGGTGCTTTTCCTGAATGCATGTCTGTATGAGAGTGTCAGATGCCCTGGAACTGGAATTATAGACAGTTGTGAGCTGCCATGTGGTTGCTGGGAATTGAACTTTGTTCCTCTGGAAGAGCAGCCAGTGCTCTTAACCATTGAGCCATCTCTCCAGCCCAAGGCTAAGTCTTACAGTGTTTTATTTTTTTAAAACAGGGTCTCAGCTGAACAGTGGTGGTGCTGCAAGCCTTTAATTCCAGCTCTTAGGAGACAGAGGCAGGCAACTCTCCTAGTTCGTGGACAGCCTGGTTTACAGAGTGAGTTCCAGGACAGCCAGGGTGACACAGAAACTGCCTCTAAAACTGGGAAGAAAAGAAGGGAAGGAAGAGAGAGAGGGAGGGAGGGAGGGAGGGAGCCAGCATGAGCGCAAACTTCAACAAATAGGAGCAAAACAAATTCACCATAAATACAGGTTGGATGACATAAACTATGAAAAATTAGCCAGTGTAACTTACGACATTCACAAAGTCAGGGAGAGAAACATCAGTGCAGCCAGCTGCATGATTCTAACGCC